GATTATTTTCTGCAAACTCAGAGCTACATGGGAGGCAGCTCTTGTGCATCTCAAACATCACCCCGAGCTTGCAGAAGCATAACCGCAAAGGGTTTCGACTAAAACCAAGTGAAAGTGAGCTCGATATGAATAACCACTGTCCCGTTTCTGTCTCCTTTAAGCTTACTTACACTGCGAAGGGAGAGAAAGACCCCGCTGGGTGTAAGCCAGAATCGATGAAACATGCGACGCGCTTGATTTAGTTGATTTCACAAGTGACCTTTTCGCTTCGGCGGCAGCTCAACTCCTAGAGTTGAGCCCAAACGCTTCGACCGAGGATAATGTAACTTATGTACCCCGGTAAATAAAGTCTTAGACTGTGCGGTGTGGTAACATCCAGTTATCAGAGTGCATAGTTTTATGAGATTGACAGGTCTTCTGTGTTTTACTGTCCGAGCTCTTTTGCAGAAGTGAAGCAGCATGCAATTCTTTCACAGTCTGTGCTATTGATAACGCTTTGCTCCACTTTGATATTTTTCAATGCGCTGATTAGTGGAGGGCTTTGAAGCTTTTATTACCCGTGAGAAAAGTAACAAGCGTGTGGTAACTCTATGCTGTCTGATGTTTTGTAATTATCTGCCTTGATTACACCCACATCACCCCACAGGTAGCCAGCCACTCTGCAATAAGTTTCAGAGGTTATTGATGTTAGATGATGCTATAAAAGGTGAAGAAAAAACGAAATGCGGTGCTGATACACTCTGAGTTCACGCTTACATTTTATAATTATTGGTTGGCAGGAATGTGCACCGGTGTATCAAGCCCCAGGGTCAATTTTTAACGACCAATCACAGGAGGGAATCCCTTTAAGGCACAACAGGTAAATCCTGTTGAAGTCTCAGTCTTATTTCGGAAACATGTTCCCACCTTCGCCAACCTCCTCCTCTGTGAAATCGATTTTCTTCCGAGACACCTGTTAGTGCGCGCTGTGTAGGCTGCATGACCTACCTTTGTCATGTAGCCGCAGGCTGAGGTCTGTCCTGTGCCGGTAGGCGTTCTCCAGATCCGCCCCGGTGGAGAAATCATCCAGTTTCACCTTTTTTACCAGGAAAGACCTTGGCATGGTGGTGAGACACCGACAAGCTGCGCACACACACGCACTCACAAACACAACGACCCACACTCGCAAACACAGCCGATCGCCGACAGGCAGGCCAGCGTGGTGATTCGCCCGTGACACACCAATCAGACCGGCGGGCCGGGGGAAGATTGTCTTCAGATTGGGGAGAAAGCGCGAGCCTTGAATTGATCCGGTGAAAGAGTTGACGATCAACAAGCGCTTGTGTGTTCTTCCTCTTCTGCTCCGGTCTCTCTCGCTGTCGTCTGTCCGCCCCGTTTAGTCCTCGCGCACAGGAGGAAAGAAATGCAACTTCAGCACCGGACAGCTCCCTCCGAGGCGCGGGGAGGGGGTACGGGGGAGGCGAAGGGGTTGCCTCGTGCTCTTTTGAGCTCGCGGGAAGGCTGCAGACCAGGGGACAGAGGGCTCGCGAGCAGTCAGGGGAGATAAATAAATAAATAAACGAAACAGGCGATGGAAGACACCCCGCAACGCGCTCGGGCCTCTTTAAAGAAGAGGAAGAGGAGATGGAGCAGGGAGAGGAGGAGGAGGAGGAGGGAGGGAGGGATGCGAAGAAAACAAGAGGGAAAATTGAAGGATAATTTTTGGAAGCTTTTCAGTAAGAGAAAAAAAACGGTCGGACACCTCGTCCTCCCCTCTTTGCCAGAGAAATTAGTCCTTTATTCCACCTGATGACGACCACTCAGGCCGGTAAGAAAAAAAAAAGAAATCACAGTAAGACTCCCAGCGGACGGATGCATCAACAGCATCCCTTCTTTCTCTCCTCTCTGTATCCCTCTCTCTCTCTCTCTCTCTCTCTCTCTCTCTCTCTCTTCCCCTCGTCTCTCTCTTTGCAGCTTCCGCGAGGTGTTCCCGTGAGTGTGCCGTCTCGCGATCAGCTGTTGGCATTTATACGGCGCAGTGAGAGAGAGAGAGAGAGAGAGAGAGAGAGAGAGAGAGAGAGATGGGGGGGATGGATAGACGCACGAGTAGAAGGAGTGCTTAATTTAATCCATCCCACATCCCCGGGGAGCGACGACTGGCCCGGATGATTTATTGAAGCTGTTATCACC